CCGTATCATTGTTAGGGACATCCTTAACCTACTTGCTTTGTGCTCCTTTATTGATTACTCGCAACTCAGCAGATGTGGGAATGTGGCTGCCCACAAACTTGCTCAAAATAGTAGAAACTATGAGGATTTGAGAGTTTGGGTGGAAGAGTATCCTTCTTGTATTAGCTCTGCTATTTTGCTAGATATTTCTAGCTTAGCTTAATAAGAGCAACTCCAATGGCAAGCTAATTTGACATGTAGCTTGGCATGCCACATAAGCTTTTAAGCTAATTATCATGTACCTACTTTGAGCTCCAATGGCTAGCAATTAGCTTACAATTTAATTGAATCCCACCTCCTTAATTAACTTTTTATATTTCATTTTATTGATTCCTTATATATATATATGCATTTTCTAGCTCCAATGGTCAAGCTACTAGCTAGGGATTATTTAATATTGCAAGCAAGTCCCTAGCTACAAGTCTACAACCATTAAAGTTGCTCTAATATTCTTGGTTACATGCTGTTAAAAAAAAAAAAAAAAATGCAAATTTTTTTTTAAACATTTATGTTACTACATCATATTCATAAAATCCATAGTGCTTATATCCATTTTTACTATTAATAAAATACAAAGCATTAATGATGAATTGATGAGGCTCAATGCTAAAAAAAAATTAAGATATCGTAAGCATTATTTAAGATAAAAAATTTGATGTTTGACTTGATAAAGATATATCTTATGCATAAATGAAAGTTTGGCTTGAAGAAATCCCACCTACTGTAACCTCATGTTCTCCTTATTAAGGTTTGAGTAATTAATTAAAGGAACCTTCTTCGTGTTTAAAAAAAAAAAATGATTTGATGGTATACATATTTATTAGGATTTTATTAGAAAAAAGTTCTCTTCAATAATTTTTAATACATAACTTAGGTTCGTAATTTCCGAACCTATATGGACACCAAATTGAGAAATATTTTTAGGTGAACACTACTCTAGTAATTTCTTTATTTTTCAACACCACATTGGCAAATCGTTTTTTTTTTTTTTTTTTTTTGGAAGACTAGGTTATGGAATACTTTGTAAGCTATATATATTGTGAAAAGATGAATGAGAAAGGTGAGCCGTTGTATTGATTTTGATATGGTATCAAGAGCTAGGTTAAGGTTCCGAAAATATTTTTTTTTCTTTTCTTAAACATAGTGAGGTAGAGAGATGGCGAAGGGTGATGATGAAACACCACCGCCACCACCGGTTGATCTCGAGTATCATCTTGGCTCTAGTGAACATCCGGGTATGGTGATAACACCAATCAAATTGAAGGGTTCAAATTATGATGGGTGGTCAAAAGCCGTGCGTAGGTCATTGATTGCGAAGTGGAAATTTGGTTTTGTTGATGGTTCGATTCCGGAACCGGCAGCTGACTCCACCAAACATAAGCATTGGATAGCCGTGAATTCAATGTTGGTGTCGTGGATAAAAAATACCCTTAATGATGGCCTTCGGTCGACAGTAGAAGATTATGACGTTGTGAGTGAATTATGGATGCACTTGTAGCAGAGGTACTGTGTGGTTAGTGGAACTCGGGTGTGCCAACTCAAACAAGATTTGGGTATATGTAAACAAGCAGCCTCCGAGTCGGTGACAAATTATTTTGGGATCGGAATTTATCCAAAATATGGAAGGAATTGGTTTAGTTTTGTCGTGTTCCGAAGTGTTCTTGTGGTGTTTGTAAGTGCAATATCACAAAGCAAGTTGGGGATATTCGTGAAGACGACTACTTGCACTATTTTTTGATTGGTCTAGATGATCCATATGAGTCTGTTCGGGTGCAATTGTTAGCTCAATCACCTCTTCCCCTAGTGGATAGTGCATATCAGACGATGATTGATACCGAGAGATTACGAGTTTGAGAAGGCAAGCCAAAGGAGAATGTGATGGCATTCAAGGTTGATTCCCGTGCTAGGAGTGAATCGGAGATGGAGAACGACCATTTTGTACCCATTGCAATCGTATGGGTCACGAAAAGAAGGGTTGTTATCAAATTATTGGCTTTCCACCTGGTTGGGAGGAAATAAAATAGAAAAGGAGGAAGAGTTCGTGGTCGTCGTGGCTTTAGCAATTGTGGAGGTATAGGAGGCCGTGGCTATGTAGGAGAGCAGGGAAATACATCTAATGTTGCCCCTGCGTCTGCTAGGGCTAATGCGGTTCAAGGAGGTGGTGTGAACAATTCTGGCAATAGTTCGTCGTCGTAGGCAAACATTGCTCAAGGTCTTGCAGGAGTTTTGTCGGAGCAAGTCCAACAGATAATTGATATTTTGAACAAACCCAAGTCACGATTGGAAGGTAATACAAGCGTATTATGGATTGTGGATACTGGAGCATCTAATCATGTTACTAATGACTTGTCAATCATGACAAATATCAAGACAATATAGAATTGTCCGGTTGGCTTACCGGATGGTCAAACGGTGAATGCGAATCAATTGGGTTCGGTCACCTAAGAGGGTGGTTTGGTGCTTGATAATGTCTTATTTGTTCCCCACTTGAATCACGATTTAATTTTTGTTGCTCAACTTAGTGATGAAAACCAATTGATTATTCAATTCACTAACAAAATTTGTGTTATTCAGGACTAGTTGACGAGGACGGTGATTGGCGTGGGTGAACGACAAGAAAGACTTTACTTTTTTCGAGGCGTGTCGCATGTGAAGGTGCTAGCAGTGGATTGTGTGGTGGATCTTTAGCATCAATGAATGGGTCATCCGTTGGAGAAAGTTCTAAAGTTACTTCCACCCGTGAGTCTCTGTTAGAAGGAATAATGATGTGTGTGATGTATGCCCTCGGGCAAAATAGTCTAGAGATAATTTTCCTGTTAGTGAGAATAAAGCTTGTGGTTTGTTTGATTTAGTTCATATTGATTTATGAGGTCCTTATAAGGTAGCATCGTCTTATGGTGCTAAGACGTTTTTAACAATAGTGGATGTTTATTCTAGACGTGTTTGGGTTTATTTGATTCGGAATAAAACTAAAGTTGAAAGTACCTTTCTCAATTTTATTGCTTTGATAAAACGTCAATTTGATAGAGATATAAAGGTGGTTAGTTAGAAGTGATAATGGAACATAATTCAATCATCTTCAAGATTATTTTGTTAAAAATGGTATTATCTTTGAATCATCTTGTGTTGGGACACCTCAACAGAATGGGCGAGTAGAAAGGAAACACCAACATATTCTCAATGTTGCTCGGGCTTTACGCTTTCAGGGAAAACTTCCTATCAAATTTTAGGGAGAATGTGCATTAACAAAATGTTATTTGATCAATTGAACCCCTAGTCCTGTGATCCAAAATAGACCCCATATGAGCTGTTATTTGGCAAAATTCCACCACATGAGTCTAGAAGAGTGTTTGGATGTTTGTGTTACGCGCATAATCAACGGAGTAAAGGAGATAAATATGCGTCACGGAGTAGAAAATGTGTGTTTTTGGGTTACCCCTTTGGGAAGAAAGGGTGGCAGTTGTTTGATTTAGAATCTCGTGAGTACTTTGTGCCACGTGATGTGAAATTTCATGAACGTGTGTTTCCGTTTAAGGAACCCTTGGATGATAATCAAGAGATTTCATAAAATTCGAGTATAATGGGTTATGGTGAAGGGAATGATGATGAATTTGACGCTTGACATATTGGTGAATTGGAGAGTGGTAATTGCGATGTGGTTCAAGGAGACCGGGCTGCTGAGGATGAGCATGGTGTGGTCGAGCAAGCAGGGCAACCATGGCCAGCCCTGTAGCGAGAGTGCGGCATCCAGACCTAGCGCCCGCAGCCCAGCACAACGAGAGCTACTACACCAGGCGTTAGGAAGCCAGCGAGCTCTAATGAATAGCGTCACAGCACTCCCAACCTACGGGCAATGGCACCCCGCTGGATCCAGCGAGCAGTCCCCAGGCTTCGCGAACAGCGGGCGTAGCAAACCTGATGGACCAGCCGCTAGTAGACATTGGTCTGTCCATTGGTTTTCCAGCGACCAGTGGGCGGACCTCAGGGAATGTGCGACAGCAAGGCACACAACAAGAAACGCAAAATCAGAATTCTGTACACAGGGGAGACGAGGAAGAGATAGGGGGTGTTTCCGCTCAAGAAGAGTTGGGTCGTGGGAAGAGAATTAAAACTCCTTCGACAAGGTTACGTGATTGCGTCACACACACCATTCGGAAAAGTAAAGGTTCGTCTTCATTCACAACATCGTCCACGTCAGGTACTCCCTATCCTATAACATATTTTGTGAATGATGAGCATTTTTCCGAAAAACACAAAAATTATATTGCTGCAGTAATAGAGGCACGTACGAATTACGAGATCTTTCAAAGAGGCAATGAAACATGAAGGGTGGAGAGAAGCTATGGCTTTAGAAATAAAAGGCTCTCGAAGATCAAGGGACTTGGACCTTAGAGGATCTTCCGGCAGGGAAGAAAGACTTGGAAGCAAGTGGGTTTACATTGAGAAGAGAGATGAGGCAGGAAATTCGCTAAGATTGAAAGCAAGACTGGTGATTGCCGGTGATTCTTGGCAATCACTAGGAGGAAGGAATTGACTACAATGAGACGTTCGCTTCCGTAGCAAAAATGTCAACGGTACGCACTTTTCTTGCAGTTGCCGCTATTAAAAATTGGGATGTACATCAAATGGATGTGCACAATGCTTTCTTGCATGGTGATTTAGAGGAAGAGATATACATGAAAGTTCCCTCGGGTTTTCAGAAAAATAAGTCAGACAAGGTGTGCAAGATGAAAAAATCTCTGTATGGATTGAAACAAGCTCCTTGATGTTGGTTTGAGAAATTGTCCACAACTTTAAAGAAATATGGTTTTAAACAATCACATTCTGATTATTCTTTGTTCACTCTATCGAAGGGTAGATTGCAGTTGAGCGTGTTGATTTATGTGGATGATATGATAATTGCAGGAAACCACACATTTGGATTGGATGGTTTTAAATCATACTTAAGTGAATGTTTTAAAATGAAAGACTTAGGGTCTCTGAAATATTTTTTGGGGCTCGAAGTGGCACGTAGCAAGCATGGTTTCTATGTTTGCCAACGTAAGTATGCCTTGGATATCATTGCTGAAACACGACTGTTGGGAGCAAAGCCTGCAGATTTTCTAATGGAGCAAAATCATGGATTAGCTCTGGCAGAAGGGAAAAATCTTTCTGATGGTGAAAAATATCGACGTTTGATTGGTAAATTGATATATTTGGCTGTCATAAGACCAGATTTGGCGTACTCAGTGCATATTTTGTCGCAATTTATGCGATCACCCAAAGAGGAACATTGGGAGGCGGCGTTGAGAGTAGTCCGATATTTGAAGAAATGCCCAGGCCAAGGTATTCTTTTGAGATCAGATAGTGCACTGTGGCTGGAAGGTTGGTGTGATTCAAATTGGGCGAGTTGTCCTTTGACTCGTGGATCATTGTCAGATTGGTTACGTTTGTGTTACTTGCTTTGTCCCCTGTGTCTTGGAAAACCAAGAAGCAACACACAGTTTCTCGCAGTTCTGCTGAAGCAGAGTACAGGTCGATGGCAACTTTGACATGTGAGTTAAAATGGTTGAAGCAATTGCTTAGTGATTTAGGTGTTGAACACAAGCAAGGTATGAATATGTTAATTTTGTGATAGTCAGTCGGCTTTGCATATAGCTAATAATCCAGTGTTCCATGAGAGGACACCATTTGGGATGCAATTAAAGAAGGTATAATTCGACCGTCGTATGTTTCAACGAAGGTTCAATTGGCAGACATCTTCACAAAGGCCTTAGGAAAGGCACAATATGAATTATTCCTGGACAAGATGGGCATTCGGAATTTTCATACTTCATTTTGAGGGGGGATGTTAAGATAATCATAAGAGAATATTGTTAATATCTTTAGATATCTTATGTATGTTAATATTTTATCTTATTCCTTTCCTAGTGTGTTTAGGTTATGGAATACTTTGTAAATTATATATATTGTGAAAAGATGAATGAGAAAGGTAAGCCTTTTTTTTTTTTTTTTTTTTTTTTTTTTTTTTTTTTTATTGATTTTGACATAATGGCTAATGGTCTTTTTTGTATCTGGCGGGATACTAAGTCATCCATACAAAATTAACCTTGTATCTAGATTTATATCTGTTGATAGTAAAGTCATCCATACAAAACTATTTACAATATTTTGTATTCAGACATTGACGTTTTTATTTTTCACATTATTTAATTAAAATCCTTCGAATGAGCAAGTATAACACGGTTAAATGAGCTAAAAAAACCCTGAATTGATCTAAGTGCACACTTGGTACTGTGGTTCTACGGTAGCAGAAGGATGATCTCTAATCTAGCTAGCTAGTAATCAATTTTTCCGTTAGCTTAGCAATTAGTGAATAGTACGATTAATAGTAGCATAAATAAGCTTTAATTTCCAAGTTTTGACAGAACATAAATCACATACTAGTAAATTGCATCGACATGTCCTCCTCATAACTTAACATGTAGTATTTTTGCTTGAGAAAATGAAAACCTGGTAATCCAGTTAGTGATTGGCTAGCAATTGCATCATCTCATACTTATTATGGTGTCTCCGTGTATCTAAAGATCTTTCCTACAATCAAATGGGTCGTATTCAACTAAGACATGCAAACACATGTACGTAGTTATCAATATTCAATAGAGAAGGAAAGAATTAATTAGGGTTACTTTTGCTACTTATCTCGTTTTCATTCATTCTTAACTCATCAAATTTGGGATTTTACTTATTCTTTGGATTCCTATCCTATCTCACTCACCAATTTCCTATCTTTATTCCATGCTTATATATCTTTTGTATTTTATACCCTTATGCCAGAGGATTCGATATAGATAATAAATTGGTTGCCAAACAAGGCCAAAATAAAGTTAAAAAAAACAAGTTCATATATATACTTGAATTGCACATACTTTTCATCAAGACTAGATCATAGAGAAAAGAGAACCAAACCCGTTCAAATCAATCTAACTTATAGTCATAATTTATCTAATTTTAATCAATTAATTACAGTTTTAATATTAAATTATCAACGAACAATCTTTGCAATAAAACCTTGATCGAAAACGCGTCTCCTCCGTATAACACTATTACCATTTCCAAAACTTACAAGTAAAAACGAAGGTGACTAGCATGAACACACATTATACATTAATTAATTAAATTAAACAATAGTTAAAAATTAAAATAAGTTTTAAAAAATAGCCCAAAAAATATGTTAATGAGAAGGACCCACAACTTTGATGACCGTAGTACGTACCTGTCGTCCACCCTGTGAAAAAAAACCCAAACCCCCCTTTATAAATATCCTTCTTCATTTCTCCTCTAAATTCTCAAATCCTCTCAAATATACAAAAAAAAAAAAAAAAAAAAAAAAAAAACAAAACAAAAAACTTCATCTTCAAGCTTCATTTCCGCCATTAATCCTTTCTTCAAGCTTTCTCTCCCCTCTCACTTTCTCTTTCTTCTGTAGTGTATGGCAGTACAACTATTCTCTCATGAAATATCTGACCTCTGTCTCGGGAAGCCGCCGCTGAGGCCTCTCCCTGCCTCCGCCACCGTCGCCGACGCTCTTTCACTTTTCCGGCGATCTTCCGGCGATCCTTCGCTCAGCGTTTGGTCTTCTCCGGTCGCCGGAGAAGCTTCCAAGTGCATTGGCAAGATTTCGATTGTTGATGTTTTGTGTTTTCTTTGTAAGGAAGAGAACATCTCGACTCCTTCTGTTGCTTTGATTTCTCCGGTTTCTCTTCTTCTTCCTGACGGTCCTTCTCTCGTCAAGCAATTGGACCCTACCTCTAGGTATTTTGCCTTTTAATTTTTTTTTTAATTGATTTGTGATTTTTGTTTTGAGATTTATTATGAATTGAATTTGTCGGTGATTAAATTTTATGTTTACGATGTTGGATTCATTGGATTTGATGCGTTTGATTTTTCGAAGTACTGTTATGAATTAAGAATTGTTTAATGCGTTGTACTTGTATATAACATTGATTGACTCGTGATTGTGAGTGATTTTGATATAAATTACCGCATACATAATAATTTAATATATTTCTAATAGTATTTTTTTAAATTAATACTCGTATTGATTTAGGAATGCACAACAAAATTATGATGGTCGATTAGTGATTTAATATTTGATCTAGCTACTCCGTATAACTAATTTGAAAATTGTGAATTAGTTTGATTTTACAGTGGATTTTGATATAAATTACCACATACATAATAATTTAATATATTTCTAATAGTACTCTATATATTTTTTAAATTAATACTCGTATTGATTTAGGAATGCACGACAAAATTATGATGGTCCATTAGTGATTTAATATTTGATCTAACTACTCCGTATAACTAATTTGAAAATTGTGAATTAGCTTGATTTTACAGTGATTTTGCATGTCGAGACCTATAATTTTTTTATGTGAAAACTGACAACTATTATAGATTCAAACAGTCATGAATTTAGGCAAATTTTGTTGCTAAGAGATTGATTTGTATCTGAGATTAATTGGGGGATTTGGAAGAGTGTGTCGATTATTAGATGGGATAATTGATTAGGCTTTTTATGGACGTAATTATACTACCTTTGTTTGAAAATAGGTGACACGTTACATTTTTATTTTGTAGAGTTAAAATGGGGTTATCAAAGTAGCTTTAGACCTAATTGATAGTGATTTGATGGGTTATATCACTTTTATGTGCAAGCATGCAATGGATCAAGATTAGTTCAAAATAAATGTCATTTTTAGCTTTGACAATGCATTCCCTTTAGTGCAAGTTAGATTCATGTATAAATGTTCGATTACTTTCTAATAACAATCTAAATAAGTTATTACGAAACTTATTTAGATTTACGATAGGGTGTACCTATGCTCTAGGTACACCCACTTATTATTACGTACCTTCTTATAAGTGATGTGGTCTCAAGTTCAACCTTATATACTCGTACATCTTTTAATTGGCTTTTCAAGGCTTTTTTGGGTCAAAATAATCACAATTTGAATTATTGTTGTTGTGGTTTGCTTTTTAGTGACTTTTGGGTGAAATTAGTGATAAATATTGTAATTTTGGGTGTGGTACCACAAAAAATAAAGTTCACATGATGGAACAGAAAAGAAAAAGGACATGCAATCTCAAAAAAATCAGTGACCTTATTTTATGAAAATGACTGCATCATGTTCCCTGTCAACTGTCTCCCAAGTTTCATAAAAAGTCCATAATGACAGCTGTGTTCATACCAGAAGAAGACAATTCTTTGATGTATGATTTGAAATTTTGCAACATTGTGGCTCTGAGAAACAAAATTTCATTTCATCTGTTTGTGGAAGTTTTATGCTAGCTTTAATGTGAGTTTTCCTCTTCATTTCCATCAGATAGTAACCAAATATGAGAGAAGCCATCAGGCTAGTTTATGAAAGTCTGGTGGTGCATCCTACATTGGTTCAAGTATGTCTTCTCGCATACTTCTCGTAGTACTTGAATTTCAATTACTCCATCTGTCCTGAAGTAATTGTCACTTGTACAATTTTCCAATTTCTTGAAAATTAAGGCGATATTTCATAGATTTATCACTAATCGGATCTTGGATTCCCATGACACCCGAACTTGGAATAAGGGAGGAGTATACCGTGGGAAGGGACACACTATTACAAATTGTATATTGAAAATTTTAAAATTATGATCAATTGGGACAATGTGACAATTATTTCGGATGGAGGGACCAATTATCATCATTGGAAATATTGTGCTAAATTACTTTGGGCCTTTAATTGTGAAGATAACATTCAGCAAATTTCTCCTGGATCACCATGTTTATACCTGCATGCACAGAATTTCATCCTGACATTGCTCTTGTTTATCCTTTGAACTTGCAGCATTCTCGATGCTGTAGACTGCATCCTCGAAGGAGCTCAGAGTCTCATAGTTCCAAGGAGGATCCGCAACTCTGGCAGCCCAAGACAAAAGCTCTCTCAGAAAACTTCTGTGGGGCGCACATACTGCTGGATCAGCCAAGAAGATGTAATTCGCTTCATCTTTAATTCCATCAACCACTTCTCTCCCATCCCATTTAATTCGATCCACTCTGCCAACATAATCGAGGAGAAAATCCCATCTGTACATTAAGACGATCCAGCCCTGTCCGCCCTCAGAGCAATCAACAACTCACTCTCTGGCCAAACTGCTGTGGCAGTGGTAGACGACGAGGGTAGATTGGTTGGTGAGATTTCACTGTATACTCTTGCTTGCTGTGACGAGACTGTTGCTCCTGCGGTTGCGACCCTTTCTGCTGGTGATCTGATGGCTTACATTGACTATGGTGGTGCGCCAGAAGATCTGATTCAGTTGGTGAAGGCAAGGTTGGAAGAGAAGAAATTAGATGGATTCTTGGAGCTCTTAGAAGATGATCATTCGACTTTGTCAGTTTCTTCGTGTTTAAGTTCAACGTCGTCTTCCTCATCTGATGATGAAGCTGTTGTAAAAAGCATGCGCTCCAGATCAAATTCAGCACGATTTGCTAGGGGAACTGAGCCCA